TAACAAACACATGTCACTAAGCCCGATGTGGGCAGGTTTAAATATTTATTCAATGATCAGTCCATTTTGCGCAATGAGGTGTAGTGTTTAGTTGCCGAGGCGGGACACATGTCACCAGGGCGCAGTATTAATCTATTTAACGGTTATCGTCAACACACGTGGAGTGATAAGCAATTAATACATTGGTTTAAAAATTACCAACCCGATATGGGTAAAAACTTTTATAAAATGTTTTATTAATACATTTTTGAAATACGACTGTAAGAAAACACTATTTTTTCTAATCGCCGAGGCGGGACACCATGTCACTAGGGCGCAGTAGAATGTGGCGCAGTACATTCGGGATAATCTAGCCGTTTTGGCAAATTATTTTCCGTGATGTTCGGTAAAAAGTGCTTTAAAATAATACCCGATATGGAAAAATGCTTTATTAATACATGTTTGAAACTGCACGTGCAAAAAATACTGGGCTCATCAAAATGGATTAATCACATGGCGTAGTACATTATCGAACTAAGATTTGAAATAGACGGTAATTTTATTGCAGTACATTAAAAATCTTTACAAGAATAGCATGAGGTAACAAGCAAAAAATAATTACAATTTTCTATGATATATACAAGATGTTTCTATGCCAGTGATTATTTTATTATAACTCATTAATTTGTAATCACATTAATCGAGGCAAAATGCGAGAAATCGTGTGAAGGCCTTTTCGGAAATAAAAATTCTTCATCAGTATCTTTGTTTTTGCATTCACTCGTTCTTTGCCAATTTGATCCATATTGTAGATTTTCCCAAGAGAAACAGTATGAATATTCTTGACTTTATTAGAGATAGAAGGATCAGTCATAGCGGACCTGTATGCTCTTCCAGCAAATGGTCCAAAATAGTTCGTAAAGGCATTTCTATCTACAATTCCAGATCTTTTCGGAATTTCAATGTTACAATTTGCAGTTGTATAGAGGATGAAAAAATCAATTTCCGATGCAGACTTTTCACGTTCTTCTAGGTATTCCTTTTTACTGACTGCTTTTTTTCGCAATTTGAATTGGTGGATTTCATTCAGACTTTCGGTACCCGGCTGATCTAATGAAAGGAAGGAATCTCCGTATGGTGAAGCTGGGGCATTAATTATACAATGTTTGAATTGTCGGACATCAACAGTAGAATTATAGCAATCAACGTCCCATTCATTTCCAGTGAGAGTTTTAGACCTTGTGTCTGTATGACGTTTTGCAACTTCAAGTTGTAGATTATGGTTTTTAAATTGGATATCACCATTCAAGCGTGCTCCCGCGTGAACCTCTGAGATCGTTGTTAGCTCATCTTCTTCAATCACAGCTGACTTTATACAACGAAATGACGCGACAAATTTTTCAAAACTTTGCCATGACTTGGCTTGCAACGATGTTACTGGATTCAAAAGCGCTCTTTGCTCTCCATAATCAGCAAACTCCCAATCCCGAAGTATTGGATCTCCTAACTGTTGAGACATTTCTACAAATATCCAGAGCCAGATGTACGGTGCAGTGAGGTATCCTTTTGGAGTATTTTCTATTTGCTCAAATCTAATCAACCCACACCCAACAAATTCATCTGGTGTTTTGTCAGTTTTTGGAATAGGTTTATATCTATTTAAGAGGCGTCTAGTCAATATTGCTCGTGCAATGGGCCTGGCTTCTTCCACAGAACTAAAAATAGCATCACGGTATTTTTTAGTAAGGTTATAACGCAGATCGTTCATCAAAGTATCGACATTGCATTCTTCAATGCTACGACCTGCCAAGCAATCATTCAGAACTTCTAGGGCCCTTCCATGCCCTCCGCAGTCTT